AATTTTACTTCCACATTTAGACTGCTCTGGTGACAGTGTGCTACAAAGTAAATATAATGATAATAATCCTTGCATTTGATATATTTCATGTCAGGAGAACGTCTCAAACTACTTCACAGGATTTACTGTAAAAATGTTGCAACTGTATTTTGTACTAAACTCCACGTTTCACCCATACTAAACTCTGTACCCCCATCACACCAGTTCTAGCTAGGCTTCACTGGCTATCACCAAACGGATCAATTTCAAGATCCTCACACTCATTTTCAAATCTTTGCAATAGCCTGACATCTCCCTACGTCACAGACCTGCTTACCCCCCAATCCACAACCCGCTGCCTCCGTTCGCCTGGCTCCGCCCTTCTGCATGTCTCTTGTGCCCTCCATTCCACCATTCGTGGCCGCACTTTCAGCCACTTCACCCCAAAATTCTGGAACACTCTTCCTCTATCCCTCCACCTTGTCCCTTCCTTCTCCATCTTCAGGTTGCCCCTGAAGACCTTCCTATTTGACCGAGCCTACAGTCACCTTCCCTTCCCCCTAACTGGGTGTCGTGTTCCGCCACTGTCAAGCACTTGGGATGCTACCCTGTGTGAAGGGTGCTATATAAATACAAGTTGTTGTTGTAGGCAAACACAATAGTGAATTTGCTCACAGCAGTGTCCCACAAACAATCAGGAAGTGAATTACCGATTTTTTCTGGGGGGGTTTTGGCCATTACATGGGAAAAAACTTCCTTCTCTTTTCAAATACTGCCATTGGATCTTTAAAGTCCACGTGAATAGGCAGACAGGATCTCGGTTTAACATCTCACCCAAAGGATGGGCAATAACAGAGGTTACAAAGTTGTGATAAACCTCAGGATTTTATTCAAGCTCGTGAAAGGGTGCTCTGCCAGTTTTGCCTCCACATATGCATAAATAAAACTTGTTTTGCTTGCTCAGTTCTGTGGACAATGCAAAATTGAGCACAATAACTGGGAGGTTCCTAAATACCTCTTGCCTAAAAGTGCCAATCAAATTGGGATTTAATTAGGGGGAGAAATTCATAATCCTACAACCATTAATTTGAATAATTTTTAAGAGTGATTTTTTTGATTAAGTCTGGAAGGTAGTTTCTTAGTCAGCACCTCTGATCAGTGCCTAGACATGAACGGCATCTGCTTGTGGCTAACCACTAACAATTTCCTCCCGCACCCACCCTTGGCCTTCTACACTGTTCCAATCAATCCCAACCCAAACATCACGATTCGTATCTTTCTCTTAGGTACCCTTTAACATTCAGCCTGAAGTTGTTATTCAGGCTGAATGTTAATAATAATAATAATAATAATCCTTGCATTTGATATAGCGCTTTTCACGTCGGGAGGACATCCCAAAGCGCTTCACAGATCACACTGTAAAGTGAATTGACTGTATATTTGTGGGCGAATGCGGCAGCCAATTGCGCACAGCAATGTCCCACAAACAGTCGTAGATTGAAAATTACCAATTTTTATTATTGTTTTTGGTTTTGGAGGGATTATTGTTAGGCTTGTGGAGTAAGGAAACTTGCCCAAGGTTTCGCCCTGTTAATTCTTATCTTCAAATCTAGATGAGTCTAATATTTTCCCGCTCCAGTTTCCCTTCCCTTCTCTTTTTCTGAACCAGCCTGAAATTTCATTCCTAGTTACTATTGCTCTCAGTCAATTGTGTGAAGTACTTTGAGATGTCCTCCTGATACAAAAAGTGTATAAACGTAACTTCTTGTTGTCACCGTCTCATTCATTTTCATTCTGCAAACTTCCTTTTAACAGCATTTTACAATATTCTAATAGCTCCTCAAACTGTCTCCCACTTATTCATTATTCGATTTCAAGATCCTCATCCTTGTCTTCAGATCCCTCCACTCCTCCGCACCCCCCTACCTCTCTGAACTCCTCTCTCCTCAAAACAGTGCCCGTTGTCTTTGTTCCTCCGGGTCTGGCCTCCTCCTTGTGCCCTGAGTTCTCCACTCTACCCTCGGCAGCCGTGCCTTCAGCCACTATGCCCCGAGGCTCTGGAACTCCCTTCCTCACTCCTTTCGTCTCACCCCTTCTCTTCTTACTTTCAGGTCTCTGCTGAAGACCTTTCTTTTCAACGGCGCTTTTGGTCACCTTCCTCCAACTCCCCCTGGCTTGGCCCTGGGATCCGTTACTGTGAAGTGCTCAGAGACGCCGTCCGGTGTGGAGGGCACTATATAAATCCAAGTTGTTGTTGTTATTAAAATGTCTTCCCAAATGTTAGTTTCTCTGTACTTCCTAACTTCTAATGGTGGCGGGGTACAGTTCAAACGTGAACCTCTTTTGAATTATGCATTTTAAACATTTCTGGATTATCTCAAAAAAAATCTCAATGATACCTTTTTCTTCTTTTGTATGGTCTATGGATCAAGCTCTCGTAGCGTTTAATAATGTAATAATCTTTACATTTGGTATTTCAAAATGTTCACATCAGGAAGATGTCCCAAAGAGATTCACAGATATACAGCAAAGTAGTGTGATTGTGTCTTTATTGGGCAAACTCGGCAGTCTGTAAACAGTTCCATAAACAGCCATGAACAATTTTATCTGGGGGATTGTTGGCCAGAATACTGGAAAAAAGACCCCTCCTTTATCAAATATTGCCCTGGGATCTTTAACATCCATTTGAACAGCCAGATGGGGCCTTGATTTAACAACTCATTGAAGGACAATGCAGCACATCCTTAGTACTGCAATAGCACTGTCAACTTGGGGTCAAACCTTTTGGCTGCTCAGGGCTGGATGCTGGATTTAAGAAACATCCGTGGGCTGCCTAAGCAATATTTTTATGTTTCCCTTCCAGAAACATAACTTAAGAATCATATAGAAATCCTATGTTTTAAATTGTGTGACTGTATTACTTAATTTCACTGAATTTATTTACAATGCAAACTTTAAACAATGTAAAAATTCATATATATTTAAAAAAAAATAATAGACAGAGACAAGGTATCTGTTTCTATATCTCTCTCTGTATCTGTGTGCATCTGTCTCTGTCTGTGTGTGCCTCTGTATCTGTCTATGTGTGTCTGTATCTGTCTCTGTGTGTCTGTATCTGTCTGTGCTTCTCCTGTTACCGGCTTGAAAGTGATTCTGCTGGCAGGTTCTGCTGCTAACTGCTGCCTCTCGCCTCTGTTTTTCCCGTTGGGTCAGACCAAGTCTGGGCTCCAGACTCACTGTGTTCGTGGACCAGATGAAATTAACCCCTGGTCCAGATGCCAGTTGGATCACCCTGGCCTCGCCCACCCTACCTCTGCGACCTCCTAGCCCCCTACCAACCCGCCCGCTCCCTCCGCTCAGCCGGCTGTGGTCTGCTCCACGTCCCCGACCCACCCGCCCCACCATTGGCGGGAGAGCCTTCAGCCACTCTGCCCCCAACCTCTGGAATTCCATCCCCCAATCACTCCGCCTCACCCCCTCCTTAGCCTCCTTCAAGTCACACCTCGAAACCCTCCTCTTCGACCATGCCATCGGCCACCCCCCCTTCCCCTCCCCTCCCCTCCCTTACCCCCCCCACCTTCTTCTGAAATGAAGCACACTGTCCAGCGCCTTGGGACGTCCTCCCGACGTGAAAGGCGCTTATACAAATGTAATCTTGTTGCTGTTGTTGTTGTTAAGACGACATGAGTTCTAAGTCCCGACTTGAGGCTTGAACCAAAAACTTGCTGACTCAGAAGGAAGAGTGCCACCAACTGAGCCCCGCGGACACCCACTGCAGCCTTCAGTGCACAGTCTTCACTCTGTGGCTGGTGTTACGCGTCGCCTTTTGTGGCTGCAGCCATTACCTGTGTGTGTGTGAGTGTGTGTGTGAGTGAGTGTCCACCTGCTGTATTCCCTGCCCTGCTGTCACTCACTCACTCACTCACTCACTGGCTGGAGTGACTCATTGCCTGCTGTCACCACTCTACCTGTGGAGGTGTTGCACACTGCGGGGGGGGAGGGGAGGGGGTGGGGGCTGACGTCACGGGCTCTCACCTGGAGCGCGCGGCGCTGAGACTCACCTGCGGCCGCCACCCACGCGGTCAGAGCGCACCTGAGCACAGCGGCGGCCACAGCGGCGGCGCACATGTGGGTGTTACAAGAGGAAACGGCCCTTCATCACAGCACTGAGCGCTCGTGGTGGGGGGGGAGGGAGGGGGTGTGTGAGAGAGAGAGAGGGAGGGAGGGGGGTAGAGAGAGGGGGTGAGAGAGTGACGGGGAGAGAGAGAGAGGGGGGTAGAGAGAGGGGGGGAGGGGGGGGTAGAGAGAGAGGGGGGTAGAGAGAGAGGGGGGGAGGGGGGGGTAGAGAGAGAGAGGGGGGTAGAGAGAGAGAGGGGGGAGGGGGGTAGTGAGAGAGAGGGGGTGAGAGAGAGAGGGGGGAGAGAGAGAGGGGGGGAGAGAGAGAGGGAGGGGTAGAGAGAGAGAGAGAGGTGGGAGAGGGGGGTAGAGAGAGAGAGAGGGGTAGAGAGAGAGAGAGGGAGGGGTAGAGGGGGGTAGAGAGAGAGAGGGGGGTAGAGGGGTAGAGAGAGAGAGAGAGGGGGGGGTAGAGAGAGAGAGGGAGTGGAGAGGGGGGTAGAGAGAGAGAGAGGGGGGGTAGAGGGGGGTAGAGAGAGAGAGGGGAGGGGGAGAGGGGGGTAGAGAGAGGGGGGTGAGAGAGAGGGGGGGGGGGGCGGTTACACAAAGAGTTTCACAAGGAGTTTCTATTTGGAGAGGCGCTTCACACAAACGGGCTGGGGACCCACCCTCGGCAGAAATGAAAGTTCCTGAAATTCCTCTCCGGCAGTCAGATTTATTTTTAAAATTATGCAACTTTCCGGCCTCGGTGTTTGGTTTAACAGAACGTTTTTCGTGCGTTTGAAGTTTCACTGTCGCTAAACAGTGCTCGGCTCAGCAGTTTAGTAACTTGCTCCTGTTTTTTTGGCGTAAAATCAATAACTTTCTCTCTCCCCCTTCTTCCCTTTCCTCCACTTTTAAAAAAAAAGTTTCAAAGGTCACATCCGACAGGTACTGGAAAGGCAGAAGAAGGAAAAACAAAGCCACTGTTGGATTACCTGGGAAGTTTCTTTAGTTCTACCAGAAGAAAAGGTGTGAAAAATTCCCCTACTGTACCTTTAAATTCTTCTGTGGAGGAATCGCCAACTGCAAAGGACCTCAGTCCTTTCCAGGGTGAAAGAACAGGAGAAACTGATACTCCAGGAAAATCTTCAACTTCGCAGGATTATGAAAGTGAAGGAGTGAAAGAATCCAACGGTAAGACAGTTGTAGTGGAGGAGACATCGTGGGATTTTCAGGATCTGAGTTTCCAAGAGGATCGGTTCGTAGCAGTCGGCGATCCACTTGAGCAGTCTTTGATTTCACCTGAAAATCAGAAAGCCACAGAGGTACATGCCACCTTACACAGCAGTCAGCAAATTGAAACGGAGCTCACACCCGATTGTGTTGGAGATCTGTCTCTGACAACTGTTGACAGCAACTCAACAAAAGGATTGGCTAATGCTTCGGGAAACAGTCTGTGGAACACCTTAGAGAGTACGGTGGTAAATAAACAAGAAAATTCAACAACTTCAGGAGCTAAAGCTGCAGATTTGTTCTCTGAAGGTTACGTTATACAGAGACATCAGATTGGGGAATGTGATGCTACTCCCTATGAAATCGTACTCCAGAATACCAGCCAGCTGGGTGTGAAGGACTCTGTATATGTAAGTACTGCTGGACTAACTGAAGACCGATATGACCATGAAAGTAATCTCGAATCTGTAGTCACTTCTTCTGCAAAGGAATGTATCTTTGAGGTGTTTGAGATTGAGAGGATCGATCTCAGTAAAGCAGGAAAGACAGTGACTGGCTTCAAAGTACTTACTTCGGAAATCAAAGAAAATTCATTTGTGACTCTCACACAGGAATCTGTTTCATTGCCCTTTAAAAGTATTGATCTGGGATTAAACGCGTTGGGAAAGACATCAGTGCTTTTGGAAAACGAGGACACTGTTAAGTCAAATAGTTCTGGATGTAAAGTTCCAGACAGTGAAACACCGACATTACAAAATCTTAAGAGGGGAACTGAACCCTCCACTGAACATCAAAATATTCCTGTAAAATCACCATCTGTAACTGCCTTGGCAGCACAATATAATTCATTCGAGAAAAACACATTTCAAACAGGCGCTGAAGATAATCAGCCTGTAGAGGTGGGAACATCTTGTATTCCTAACATTGGTGGCATTTCAACGACCTCGCAAGAGGCTGAAAAATTTACTGAAGGGAATCTATCAGAAGCAAATCAGAATGGCTCACAGCTACTAGAATCAAATACAGAGAAAACAATTTATTTACCTGTTACTGCTGCAGTCGATTATCAAACCACAATAGAGGAGTCTGTTGATTTGTCATTAAATCTTAATGGTGAATTGAGTTTGGCAACACAAATATCTAACATGGATGGAAAAACACCTACAGAAACCAAATTTGGTCCGAAAAAGTCCAGAAGGAGGCGATCCCTGAAATCTGATAATCAGCAGTCTGATAAAGTCCCTAACAGTGCTGTTTCTAACTCAGCTAAGGGATCTCTGAAAGAAACTGCTTCCAATAACAATGAAGAAAACTCTACTAATCAGTCCTCAAAAATCATAGTTAAAGGTCCTTTGTCGCCAAAGCAGGATTCTTCCACGACAATCCATCACAAAACGTCGCCAAAGGTGCCCGTTTCAAATGAAAAATCTGTGCCAGAAAGTCCGAGGCCAACCTTGCCACAGAAGAAGATACTACAACGGGCACCTTCCAATCCAACCACAGAGAATGAAGCAGAGTCTCCAGGAAAAAGTTCCGTAAAAATGTCAAACTCAGAGACCCATTTCAGCAGATCCAAGAATCCCTCATCCACAAATGAAAATGCTTCACTTTCTGGTCAAAAAATGAATGAATCTGCTGTTTTAAAGACCTCAGAGACTCATTCAGCTGAACCTACTTCCAAGGTAGCATGTAATGAAGATTTCAGTGTTTCTTTGGACATTGCATCCACTGAATTAGACCAAAATAGAAGACCTAAATGCAATGAAAATACAGCTGCTTTAGATTCAGAAGAGCATAACATTGTTCAGTCTTCTGGCAGCCAAACTTCAGCAAACGTTATTGATAAAGGAAGTCTGGCTGAACAAGAGCCAAGAGAAAATCCTTGGAAATTGAAAATGCTAATAACTCAAGAATCAAAGGAAAGGAGCAGCCACCACCAATTTATTCTGTCAAAGGTTAATTCTACAGTGACTACAAAAATAAGAGTGTAAGTGCAATTGTTATTCAGAGATTTTATAATGTGAAATAAAAGTAAAAGGACTCAAAAAGATAAGCGAATCCAGTAAATGGAGCCTCAGAATGTGACCCGTATCAATACGATCATTAACAATCAACACTGTTGTGGCAGGGGATTTCACGCGAATAGTTAGTCTGAGTATTAAAGCAGTGGAAAGGTTCCTCTGAAAAGTTTCTGTTTTTATAATTGAAATAAATTATATTTAGTGCTTGAAATTTGCGTTCCAGGTCAAAAAATAGTTTATGTTGGTACTCGTATGGTACTCCGCATTTACATGCAGAACACTAAATAGAGTAGATCTTGTTCATAATTTGGAAGCAAGTTACTTGTTGTTTGTTTTCTAGTAAATATGTCCTAGCAATAAATTACTTTCCACTCTCCTATATAAACTTAAAGATCATATTTAATTGTATGCATATTCCAAATTTGAAATGTAGTGCTTATGCAGATCTGATTTGCAAGAAAGACAATTGTCAATATCCGGCCCATAACATAAGGTGCCAATTAGTGGTTAAGATTAAACACAAGGTACAGTAATTTGAACTTTGTGTGTGTAAAATTGGCCTTAAAGTTGCCCTTGTGCTTGTAATACCGTTTATACATCAACTTAAAAAAAATAATTTTGATAATGTGTTCATGGTGATTGGATCATTTAAAATGTTCAGTGGTTCTTGTTTCAAATAAAATCTGCCAATATTTCTCCTGGCAGCTTTCTCCTCTCCTGAAGATATGTGACACCTTTTATTATTTTCTACTGTATTACTTTCCAAGGTGCCCTCTAGTACTTTGTCCAAATGGCCATTATTCATGTATGAGTCTTGACAGCTTGTGTCAACCGTCTATTAACCTGTGGGGCCCGATTTTTGCCCTTTCCTGACATCCACACAGATGCACTTTTCAGTAAATACAATTTTTCACTGAGACTTTTTTCAAGTACATGATTTGTTTTCCCTCTCCTCCCCCTTTCCTCACATTTCATTTTTCTTCTGCATCTCATTAAGACACTGACTAGTGATTTGAACTCATAATCTGGAGGCCTCTCCAATGAAATTATTACTGAGAGGAAGTGCTGCATTGCTGGAAATGCCATACATCACAAAGAAAGGGGAGTTTCTTCTAGTGTTTTGTGACAACTGTAGTTACCTACAAAAACAAGTAGGCAGTAATTACTGTAAAGTGCTTTCCAACATTTTGAAGTACGCAAGTTATTTTTTTCTTCATTCTGAAGCATAGGTTATCCTCCAGTACTCCATCAATTGACCAATTCTTCGTTGGGGGCCAAGACTGACTGACTATTGATGAAGACTTGCAGGAACCCTGTTTGATTAAACTTTTATTCAGTTTTCCTTTGCACTTTTTCCTCTCAACAGAATCACAGCATTTTACTGGTAAATAAGTATAGCATTGAAACAGAAACACTGCTAACTTTGGAATATATTCTGCCTCTACATTTTGTTGAGAAAACTGAATCTCCTCACTGTATAATGTTAATTAATTATTTAATCTTTTGTTTCAACAGTCCAGTAGCTGAAACAGAAGATAAATCTGATGCCTCGATCAATACATTTGACAAAGAAAGAGCTCCTCTGAATGTTAGAACTGAAGAGGAAGAGACCATCAGAATTACTCTGCCACGTAAAAAGCAGAAAACCACAAGTTATCGTCAGGTTGACTTCTTTACCACCAAAGACCTGCCTTTGTCTCCTAAATCCACAAAAAAATATGTGGGTAGTTTAAAGATTCAGCTGAACAGCAAAGTGGCCAAAGAAGCAGATTGCACCGTGACCCAGGTCAATAGTAAGCAGACACACTCCTTCAAAAGCCTTGAAACATCTAACAAAGTAAAGGTACAAGCTGAGCATGAGAAAGGCACGTTATCTAGGATGGAGGTGCAAGCATCTGAAGTGGACTTATCTAAAATTAAGAAAAATGCCCCCACTGAGAACGATATTAAGCAAAAAACTGACATAAATCAAGGAACAAGCGATCTTGCCCTGCCATTACCAAATATTTCTACAGAATTGCAACAGAAAGAAATGGAAGTGAAGGAAATATCTCTTGTAAGTGTGCAACAATTTGAAACCACCAGGTCTGAAGTTAAGAAAGATATACCAGCAAAGAGTACAAAAGAGCAAGAGCCTAGCTTAAATGCAGCGGTAAGCGAGCCTGTTCAACAGAATACACCTAAGATGCAAAGTCAAGATACTGAAGTTAAGGAAACAGTTTTGCCTCAGAAAGTGAAGACATCACAAGTCACTGTGTCTAATATTGAGAACATACCTGTAGAGATTGTCAGTGAGAAAAAATTGACCCCAGTTCCAGAAACTGGTGGGTTTTCTCAGCCTGTGCAAAAAATCCATTGGCTTTGCAAGATAGAGACTCTGAAATAAAGGATTTAACATTGCTTCAGACTGTAGAACTCTCTAACTCTACAGTATATAAAACGAAGGAAGACAGCCATGGGAGTGATGCTAATGAGACAAAGAAGTGCTCCAGTGCAGCAGCAGAGCGGTTTTCCCAGCCTGAAGAGCAAAGAATGCTTACAGTACAAACTGTAGACCATGAAGTAAAAGAGACAATATCAGCTCACCGTGTAGAACTATCGAAATCTTTGGTTGCTGAAGTTAAATCAGAAGCCCCTACAATTGATGCTTCTGAGCAAAAGCCCAGTCTAGATGTTACAGCAAATGAGCTTATTCCACCTCTGCTGTCAAGCACTCCTAAATTGCAGCATAAAGAGATGGAAGTGAGGAACGCAATGAAAGAGAAATTTTCCAGCACTCACTTCGCACCTGGGGCAAGTAGTTCTAAGGAGCAAAGGATCCATTTACGTGAGAAGAGTAGTTTTGCCTGGCCTGAGCAGAGTGAAATTGAATCACAGCTTTGGAAAGCTGAAGTAAAGGAAGCAATTGTGTTTCAGAATCCACAGACCTCTGAAGCCACTGGGTTTGAAATTAAAGATGTGTTCACAAAGGAGTGTGTTGGCCAAAATATCATCTTAGGTTCACCAGAAGCTGATTTTCCATCCTCTGAAGAACAAATTCAGCTGAAGTCTCAAGGGGAAGAGAACGTGAATGTTTCTTCCAATGAAACAAGTAACTTGGACAGCTCTTCTGACATGGAAAGCTTTACCGAATCAATTCGCAAATATGGCAGTCCCATTAGTCTGCCACAGAAGAAGCAGCGAATTCCCAAATTATCTTTGATGCCGCCTTTTGCAATGCCACCCATTCAGGAAGATTTTATTCCACCAAAGGAGAAAAAAATATTTGATCCAACTTCCTTCAAATTCGGTCTAGGGAAAACAGGTAGCCAGAAAGGTAAAGGACCTTCCTCTGTTCTTAAAAAGCAACAAGGTGAAGCAAAAGCTAAATTAAAGAAGCGTGCTTCTGCAGAACAAAGCGTGGTTTACAAATCCCTAACAATTAACAAAAGCCCAAATCTACGTTTACATAGACCAAAAGATGTGGAGCATAATCTTTGTGGTGATTTGCACAGTAAAAAGTTTCCTTTGGAAATTGATCAGACTGTGGCAGATGCATCTAAATCATCAACTGGAGCTCAGATTGAGGACATTAAATTTACACCATCATTGGTGGAAGACAACTCGGTTAATGGGTTTGAATCCGATTTTCCAAATGCAACCAGCTCAGGAATGTTGCCAAGTAACATGGAAAAATACTTGAAAACTTTTGAATCAGAGGTGCAAAAGAATTCAGAAAATGGATTTTCCATCCCTAACTTCCCCAAACCGGATAATTTAGAAATTAATACAAATCTCAGTGACAACATAGAGGACAATGCTTTTGACAGTCTATCAATATTCCAGGGATCAAGCGATTTGAGCGCTAATCAAGATATCCCAAACTTTTTTCAGAATGACCTTTTCAAACCCATATCTATATTGCCTCAAGTGCCAGTAATAGTAAGTATACATTTGTTAAATTACCTACTTGGTTGATGTTGTAATTATAGCTGATTTACAGTGGGAACTCAAACATCCTCCATAATTGGGAGATAATAGTGACTCCACAAAGAAGTATTTTGATACAACACATTTTCAAAATGTGTTTTAATTTTAAAGAATACTGAAAGATTGCAGATCATACTTGTGTTTCAAAATGATAAACATGGTGTTTGAAAGCAGTCAGGAATTGGAAGTTAATTACGGATGTGAATGGGAAAATTCTGATTTACGATTGATGGGGCATAATTGTGCTTTTATTGTATTTTCAAAGAACATATTATCATTAGCTGTTGTGCTTTGTGATTTCCAAAACAAATGCCCCGCAAGTGACAAACTGCTCTCTGAGAATTTCTGATCAGTGATTTTGTAAACTTTCTTATGGCATTAAAGAAATATTTTCCCAACATCCACAGTACAGCAATAGTATCTAAAATTTTGCTGAGTTTACATAGATTTACAAAGAAGGTAAAGCACTCGTCAATGCCGGTGTTTATATTCCACATGAGTCTCCACCTACTCCCTACTCTCTCCCATACTCTTTTATTCCTTTCCCCCTCATGTGAAAATCTAGCTGTTTGTTAAATGAATGTATAATGTTGAGAGCAGAGCAGAGCAACCGTTGTAAAGGCATTAGCTTTTACAATATGGTCCTAAATTACTGGCCTTTCGCTCATGGCAGTGGGAAGACATTTTATTTATGGGAAAGAGAGATTTTGAAATAGTTTACCTCATCCCTTTGGAAAGTGGTTGTGCTGGGAATGTCCTCTTTCTGTCTGTGCACTTAGTAACCCTGTTAAAATCGAACATTTTAAATTTAAAGTGGATCAATTCCTAATCTTCCCTACTTCATCCCCCCCCCCACCCCACCAAAAAAATAGAACAGTGTTATCCGGTGGATCAGACAAATGCAGGGGAATGTAGTTAGTTTTATGGTGTATCAGTTTCATGAGTTACTAGATTTCTGAATGCCAAACTAGAAGTGACAAAACCAGATTCTAATCCATTTCACAAGTCCTGCCCTTAGTTATCTATATTCACAATGCCATGAACATTCAAAAATTGGTGTCCAGCAGCAACATTGCACTGAGATACGTTTTAAAATCTTTTACATCACAGAAAGCAAAAGCGCAAGACTTTCTTTTTACACATTTTCTGTAGAGAAAGGATTGTTTCAGCCACTTCTGTTAAACGCTCCCGATTATGCTAATTTTCTAGTTTAAGGAGGACTATGTTTGGAGCATTTTGCCAATTAAAAAAAAACTGAACCTTTTTCATTACTTTTTGAATTCCTTCGAAACCTACTCCTGAAAGTAGTTCCTTTTTTTCATCTGGATGTTTTGCCCCTGCGATCAGTTTAATATAATTGTACACTATACCAGAATCATAGAATTATAAAACTTATAAAATGTAGAATGAGTCTATTGAGTCTATACAGGCTCTCAGAGCAAGCTTTGCTTAAACCCCACTTCTCCACCCTATCCCCATACCCCTTCAAGCCTTTTTTTCCATGAAACCCACAATAGACTCTGCTTTTACCATCTTATTTGGCAGAGCATTCCACATCCCGATAACTCTCATACATACTATATTGTTAAAGATGATTTTTGCTGATGAGTCCTCGATTATGTTTAAACGTTTTCAGCTTATACATTTGCAGAATGGTAACCGAGCACTGTTTTCCGAGTTTGTCATACTGTGGTTACTTTTTGTGTTCGTCCTCTAACCTCCATGCCCCTCACTTTTAACATTCAGTTAGCTTATACAATTTTTTCATTATTTCTAAAATACATATAGTGTATACATCTCTCTCTACATATAATATGTATTCTGTTTTCTTCAGCAGAAAATCCCTAATATTGCCCCTACCACTGCTAAAAATTTTGTAAATTAAGATTACCCTAAGATTATGCTACCTTGAAATGTTGTTTCCTTTTGGGGAATTAACACAAGCGATCTGCTTATGAGTCAACTATTCCACTAGCATGTGAGAATAAAACCCTTCTTTCATACAGTGGCAATGACTATCTTCTGTTCATTTTGTCCCCCGCCCTAGTGCTATGATTATGCATTTTTGAGTTGCATAAGCTTTATAATTACCATGTGACCTCTTTTTAAACAGTTTTGACTTGTCTTGTGGATTATAGTCTTATTATGCTGCTTAAGACTGAGCTGTCTCATAGCTTTTTTTTCAATGCCTCTGAAGCAATATAAAAAAGAACAACATCTACGCTGCTTTAGCTCACAGTGGGAAGAGTATTGAATAGTCAGACTCCTATAGTGATTAGTTTGTACTGAGATATTATTTAATGTGCAAATCCCATTTTAGTCAATCAAATCCTAGTTTAGCAGTGAATACTTATCTATTAGTAACAACCCAGTGGAATTTTATTGCATCAGGTAACTTTTTTTTCTCACTTTTTCCCTAGCACCTACGTATCTCTGTGATCTTCTCCTACCCCACTCCTTTGATCGTCCCCCCCTCCCCCTTGGCTAACTCTGGTCCGCTGCCCTGTTCCTCCCCCCCCCCTCCCCCCCCCCCATCACCACCCCTTTACATTGGTGGCAGAGCCTCTGGAACTTCCTTTTACTCCTCTTTCCCACTCTCTATCTGTCTTTGAAACCTACCTCTTCAACTGCCTGTGATTATCTCCCCTTTCCCCCTTGCTTGACGTTCATCCCCATCATTCTGAAGCGTTATCCTAAGTTAAGTACAATTTGCTGTTTTGACTTGTCCTTTGTCCATTTTTCAATTTCCACATCTATAGTGACAGGATTGCCTTTATGTCGCAGTTTATAACTGGAGAAAGAAGTTTGAAAGTTTTTATATATTAAGTTAAAATTTGTGAACGATCATTTACAGCATTTGTTAAAAACTAAAATGATCCCCAAATTGTTATATGTTTAAATGCAAGGTCTTGAAACTTTAAAAAAAAATTATATGCAATTGAACTTATTTTTCTTTATGAAACTATTAATATTTATACCAAAAAGGAGGGGGAAAAAATAACAGGTTTTTAAATCTTCCAACAGACGCCTGGGATGAACAACATAAAATTAAACCCTAGGCCAGGGAAGGTAAGGACTGAGACCAACATTCTTTTAAACAATTTGCTAACGAACATAGTAACAGTAGTAGGCCATTTGGCCCATTGAGCTTGTCCCACCATTTTCCTAGAAACTCTATGGAGTGATTGTAACACAATTCATTTTACAGTTGATCATTTACAATCAGCCTAACTTTCGTGGCGAAACAATTGAAATCTTCAATGATGTTAAGGATGCTACATCATGGAATTTGCCCTCTGCCTTCTCCATTAGGACAGTACGAGGCTGGTAAGATAATCCTTTAGTTTGCAACTTTCAAACTATATCTGTACGTCACAAGTGCTTATCTCACCCATGGGGGCGAGACTCTGATAAGACACTGCTTGGGATTGCTGAGGTTCACAGCACACTAAGTATGGTGGGAGATCTCTCAACTGCATATACATTTGGTTTAAATACTTGTGGGTTTAAAATTGACATGTCATGTCATAGGTGCTACCTTTTGGATGAGTCTTCTTAACGGAGGTCCGTTCTGCCTTTTCAACTGCTTACTCAAGATGTCTATGTCCTGGTTAACAATTTTTCTGACTAATTGGACATTCATTTTATGGCTGTATGTAAGACCTCAAGTGGCTCAGAGGGGAACTCAAGTGGATCAGATGGGTCACTGCACTTGACAATATTTGCTTCTGAAATTTTTCTGAGATGTTTCAGGGCCTCAGCAATATAAAATGCACCTTTTTTAAAATTTTTAAACACCATGTAATTTTTGAACAATTTGTGATGTTGGTTAAATAGTGCCAATTAAGCCGGTCAGTAATTTGTATCTTGAACATTGCAAGGACAAAATTCCCATGCTTGCAATCATTGCGATGATCTCTAGATTACAATAAGAAGTGGTTAAGATATCAATGCAATGTAGTTACAACAGATCATTTATGTTTTAGTTACTTAACTGAAGTCTTTTAATAACAGCTCAAATTTAATTTGAAATATTCAGCCTGGATCAGTTGGGCGCACTTTTGTCTTCTGAGTCAGAAACTTGTGGGTTCAAGCTACATGTCAGGTCTTTATGTTCACAGTCTAGGCAGGCACTCCAGTGCAGCGCTGGAGACAGGTCTGCCTATTCAGGTGGATATTAAGGATAACTGTTTGAAAAGAAAAGGGAATTTTTCCTCATGTCCTGGCCAACTATCCCCCAAATAGAATTGGTTGTTCACATCATGACATTTGTGGGACATTGCTGCATGCAAATTGACTGAAGTGTTCGCCTACAAAATACATTGTCTTCACGTCATTATTTTCAAAGTGAAATCTTGTGAAGCGCTTTGAGATGTCTCAACAACATGACAAAGTGCTATATCAATGTAAAGATTATTATTGTTGTTATCATATGAAACAAATAACCATGAATGAAGTGAAATTATATATGTGAAAAGCAGAATGAAATAAATGTTGCAGAATATTAATGTTGATTATAATTCTTTACAATTTTTCACAGTTGGTTCCTTTATCAGAAGCCAGATTTTGAAGGGGCTAAGATCTTACTGGAAGAAGGCGCGGTGGAGTTGGCAAATATTTGGGGAGAAGAAATTGCTGAGGATAATAATGAGGAAGGGCCCACAGTTATCCCCACTGTTATTGGGTCTATTAGAAGAGCAGTCAAGGTAGGTCAGGTTTAAAATTATTTGAAAAGTATCCAGTTATTGACAACCTGCAAGAGGAAATTGCAATTCCTCCATTAATAGTAAATGCTTTTGCTGGATTGAGATGTTTCAAACCATATATTCGTGAAAGAGTGGTCAAATAATCTTAAACAAAGTTTGATTATCTAAAGAATTCCCTTTTGTTCCTTTCACAGGATTGGAGCCTAACAGAACTAGATTTGTTTACAGAATTCAATGGAATGGGAGATAGAACAACATTTTATGACGAGATCGAAAAAATTTCAACATTTGGGATTCCACTATCCACGTTGTCCATGCAAGTACATTCTGGAATGTAAGTGAAACAATTTGCTGCTTAAAAATTGCCTTCATAACCACTATTCCAGTTGCATATAATTGCCTGAAATCAGCAGTACAATGTAGAATGCTTTCAAATTTGTTTTTTGAAAAGAACTTTAATTTTCAGGAAGTTGCATCAAAAGCCACAATCAGTTTACTCTAAATGAATAAACAATGGTAAGGATTATTCCTAGTGATATTACAAAGAAAGCTACTATATGTTAAAATATTTGGCATAATGAAGCGTTTGGTAATGTGTTTGACGTGTTTTGGATCGTGTTCAGGAATTAAAGCTTTTTAGCTATGGGTCAAGAAAAACTTCTTGTTACCTATTCTTAAATTGCTGGTTGCAACCCTAAAACTATGTCCTCTTGTTCCACTGTATTGATGCATCCTAAAGTATTAATCTGGGTTTGCTTTTTGAATCCCAACTAAAATGTTATGCACTTCTATAAGGTCTCCACTGAGATGTCTTCTCCTAAGACTAAAGAGCCCTAGCTTGTCTATTCATGGCTTATAAATTACTTCTCTGACGCTGTGGTTATCCTTGTTGCTCTCCTCTGCAATGACACTAGGGCCTGGGTAGCTCATTTATATTGTGGCAACCAGAACTCTATGCCCTAACCAGAAAGCTGTATAGTTTGAGTTGGAGTTCTGAACTCAACTGATTTAGCAATACAGCCCAGCATCTTGTTTCTATTGGTTATTTCTGCCTCACCCTGCTTTGACATGGTGCAAGGAGGCAACATATTGCTAATAATAATCTTTGCATTTGATATAGCACTTTTCACGTCTTCTAGACGTCTCAAAGCGCCTCAAAGATAACTAAGTCAACTAACCCCCCTATATCTCTTTCAGCTGCGTCTTGGTAAGTTAATCATGTGATCTTATTGTTTTTTGAATAACAGAAAACATATAGGACAATTTTTTTTCTGCTCTCTGAAAGTCAGTGACGTTTACTAATCAGGGTCTTCTTAGAACTGTATTGGCTCCAAGGTGACTGTTTGACAGCCGAAAGTCAGATTCGAGCCAGCCCTCTGTGGCAATCTCGATAACCTAGTTCCTGAGTCAGGCAGCTCTGCATTACTCCAGAGCACTGCTGATGACAGACCAATCAGCCTGGTTCATTGGTTGGACTTGGAAGGGCAGACCAGTCATTGGGAGTAAGGATACTTCCCACTCAGCTCCTGTTAACCCTGCAAGACCTGGCTGACAAAAAAAGCAAGCAAAAAAAAGTTGCTGTCATATGGCGCCCAAGGATTCCTTGAGCCCCCAACACCTTGTCCTATGGGCATTCTGCAGTTGTGAGCCCAGACAATAAATAGGATGATCAACCAACAACAACAAATTACTTTTGTATAGAGTCTTTCACATCAGGAGGACATCTCAAGATGCTGAACAGGGGATCACATCTGAGTGGCATTTCCTAATGCCCTAAACACTTTCTTTCCAGAAAACATAACTTAGATAGCTGTTAGGAGTGGAATCCCTAGCTGAGTTTTCCCCCCTCCCACTCTGCTCTCTCCGAATGTATATTCTATGAAACCTTGGATTATGTATTAGACAGTAGTAAATAGATGAATCACCCAGTTATTATAGTTATGCTCCAAACAATGGGAAGATCATGCTGTGTTTCTGATATATTGGTAAACAGTGTATGCAAAACTTTAACTCATTATAACTGCTGATGATGCATGTGGGTTGCTCACATTGAACTGTAACTTTTTTTTAAAGTTTCTGAATGGCTTTGTATTTTGGATGAGCATTTTAGATTAATATATTAAAGGGACCAAGTCTTCTTGATTCATTAATAGATTAATCAAATCAGAATTTGGCCATTTCCTGCAGTTTTAAACCCAAATGTGAATAAAAGGTAATCACTGGGGTCCAATCTATGACAGCAACAATAACAGCTTGCATTTATAAGCACCCCTCAAGCAGGGTAGCATCTCAGTGCACTATTACATAAGAACGATAAATTTTTCTTGTAATTTAATTAACTTCCTACAGATTAAGCAAGAATTTCCTGAGCAATTGAATTGATGTGTCAGAAATTTACATTTGAATGACTGGTGCACGGAGATGCTAGGAGCCGTTCACAGTGCCCCAAGGCAATCCAGGAAATGCTACCAATCAGTGTACTTATTTTTTCTTATTACACGCCAATCACTTTCATGTGGCATTAGTTGTGAGTCATTTGTAGGGTGTAACCCGCTGCTTCAAGGATTTGGTAAATTCTATGAATCATTATATTGCATAATGCATGTTTTGACACATCACGTTAATTTATAATTTCTCTCTACCACACATGGGGTTGGGTGGAAGCAACAAACTTGTCTTTATCTGTCTGAGAGAAGTTATTTTTCATGTAAATAATTTGAGTGTCTAATCCTTATCAAAGATTGATTTGCTTTTAACTGATGTTATAATGATGCAGGTTTGTCCTATCTTTCGCCCACAAATATACAATCAATTCACTTTATAGTATATTCTGTAAAGCGCTTTGAGACATTTAGAAGATGTGAAAAGTGCTATATCAAATGCAAGGATTATTATTATTATCTTCATTGGTCATTTACATTTCTGCAGGCTCAATTGCAATCTTTCTGCAATCTTTCCAGGATTATCTGTATTATCTATCATATTACTTTTAACATCTGTACTTTTTGTCTTACATAAAGCAAAGTACTATGACAAATCAGTAGTCAGCATGGAGAAAAAGTTGCCCCTAATTGAAAATCTGTAGTAAATGCAGACTTACTTAAAAACAGGTATTTCAGAGATGCTCACAAAAAGTTTAAAATTCTCCATCCTACTTAACTAATTATATTACTAATTCAGTCAAATCTGTTTTTGTGGCATCTCTGGAATAGGGCATCTTAATCGAGGTACCTTTTACAGTCTTTTTTTTCATTTGAAAGCAATGGTGTGCAAAATCCCAAATCATAAATGAAGCACTCCACCAATATTACGAAGATACACAAGTCTATTGACTACAAATTTCTTCTAAATCCTCTTTCACCACTGCATCAACCTCAATGTACTCATACGTACAAGATTATCTTTCATTTATCCTGCTATCTTTTTTGTGATTTTAGTGATATTAAACCATTTCTTCCTTCCCACCCCATACACGTTACAATTTTTGAAGAAAAGTGATTTTACTTGGGCAAAATAACAATAATTCTTGCATTTGATATAGCACCTTATCATGTCTTTGAGATGTCACAAAGCGCTTCACAGAATATACTGTAAGTGAATTGACTGTATATTTTGTGGGTGAAAATCGTACACATGGAACAGACATTATTAATTTGTTGTTTGCTCATTGTGTATTGGTTGCAATTCCTGCAGTTTGTTTGTTCGCACCATGAATCCTGAGGCAAAAAAAAGTATTCAATCTTTGTTTAATGTAGAGCTGAACACAACTAATTGCTTAAATGTGATGTTTGATTTAATGTTATGATAGATTAAAGTGTAAATAGCAATTAGCACAGTGATTACAAAGCAATAATAAAAATATGTAATCCAAGACTTCCTTTGTTTCTTAGATGGCTTGTGTTTGAAGAGCCCTTGTATCATGGAAATTCTTACATGGTGGAACCTGGGCAGTATGCTTGTCCAGAGGCATGGGGTGGTGTAGAACCCTTCATCGCGTCACTCAAACCGGTCAAAATGGTAAAAGAAAATTTTGAGAACATGTGATAATTTTGCTGTATAAAGGATTCAAATAAACAGATAATTCTAGTTATGTTAGATCCAGTACTTTAAACCTGCTATTTGCAAATGAGATTCCGTTTATGCTGAAGGCAATAACAACAACTTGTATTTATATAGTACTTTTAACGTGGGGTAGTATTTCAGAATGCTTAAAGCCTGAAGAAAACTTCAAGGCAATCTTGTTTTCTATTTGAATTTGACTAGAAGTGAAATATACTTCATAATTCGATGTGTGATTTCTACAGTAAGATACTACAAATTCTGTTTTACTTAATGCTGTTTTAAAGTACATCAGCCTAGGCAGAGCTAAGGTTTTTTTGATCTTGTAGCATTGGATACATTGATTAGCACATTTTATTTTTAAGTGTTCATACAAATGCAAGCTTTTTTTTTAAAAAAAGGTTTGAGTGTTAATTGTAATTTCTGAATTGAGGATAATGTGAATAATAATACAAGGACAATGTAACTTTTTTCAGGGTGGATTGAAAGTTGAAAACCCTAATGCTGGGAAGGTAGGTGCTTTCTAGCAATATGTTTCACTGAATAAAATCATACCAATCAAATTTCTGCTGTAAAAATGTTAAATGTGTATCTGTGTGCATCACAATAGGCTATTAGTTTTTCTTATTATCTTATTTAAAATAATTGAGTACCCTAATATGTGACCCCTTCTTTCCCCCTTCTTTTGTGAAGCTGTTGTTTCTTGCTGGGTTTGGTTCCATACAAACCACACTCCATTTACCAAACTAGACCAAGAGCTGGTAACTTTGTTGTTAAATAGAAACAGGAGTCATTTGTTTGGCCCATTGAGCCCATTCTGCCTTCTTATTAGATGATGGCTGATCTTTGCACCTCATTTCCCCACCTTTTCTCAATACCCTTCGTTTTACCCTTGCTTTCCCAGTATCTTTAAACTATTCTAAAAGAAACTTAGAAATTTACAGCATCGAAGAGGGTCATTTGTCCCATCGTGGCTGTGCTGTCTAATCTGAGCTAATGATGATAAAATAGGTTGCCAAGTAACACCCAAAGCGTACTGTTTTTAATAAGGTTGTGACTAGATCTTGATGTAGCTCCTGATAAATTTGGAATGAGTGCGGTAGTTGTCCAGATCTTGAAAGTTAACTGAATCCATCGCTGTTGCATAAAAGGTTCCCCACAGTTTTAGTGCAATTCTTTGTGAGTTCTCCTGCTTTTAAGACTTGTTGAAGGAGGATGGGCCTGGGACATCTTCATGTAATACAGAATTTAAAGCATGAACCTGACGTGTAAGTAAATCCAAAACAGTTGAATGGCAGTGAACACACATGATAAAATGGAGAAAACAGATTCGAAATAATTGGAAATCCATAATTGATGTTCAGGCAACATAAATAACGATTGATTATTTACCTTGAACTTATTCCAGAAGTTATCATTAATAACATGCTGTAAGTATTTACAGAGTGCAGTTAATTCTGTTTTCAATTCCTGATGGTAGCTTCCTTTACTCTCCATGTCACTGATGTCAATGATGGTTTAGCTTTGGAGACATTAGTGGCTGCAGACATGTTTTTTTTAAAAAGCCAAAGAAACACCTGTTATAGTAAAAGGATATGTAGTTTTCTTCAGCTTCCCCTTTGTACTATTAACATTTACCTTTGTTAACTTGCCTCACAGATTATCGTGTATGAAAAGCCTTTCTTTGAAGGCAAACAAATGGAACTGGAAACAGATGTTTTCTGTTTCATTGGAGAGGCCGAAAGAGACAAAGAATCAACTTTGTGTCAGACTTACCATTTTGAGACTGTCGGCTCCATTAAAGTTTTAGGAGGACTGTAAGTAGTCTTTACTTACTAGAGTACTATAATCATCGTTTTGTTTATTGTGGTTTCCACATAATTGTTAGAGCAACTAGAATAATTTGCTTTCTGTGCAGTTGAGCTAAACGGTGTGTGGAAAATTGTAGGAAATGATGCACCTTTTCTTTATCCATTCACCAGTACAGCTTTCAAAGCAGGTGCATAGTCTCATGAATGAGCTAAAAGTGAATGAGTATTTGAACATCACAGGTTCTTCTGTACTGGCCAGAAATCATTGGAAAAAGTTGATCTGAATCAAGAGTGGAGATTCAGGAGTCAGTAATCAGCTGTAATTTTAGGCAAGGACTTCAGATGACCACTTTTAAGACCTCAAAGTAAAAGTCCAGTAGTTTCTGGACATTTTCTAGTAGCTAAAATGTTGAGCAATATCTCAACGCACACTCTGGGGTCCCCCAAGCCTTGGCTGTTGTCAGCTTTCTTTGGTCAGGCTGTACCTGGATTACTACATCCCCAGACCCCACCTGGAGTATTGTGTCCAGCTGTGATCAGGCTGCAACTGAATGTTTTATCTGTTGCAAGGTAAGGCCAGATGAATATTGTCAACAGTATTTTGGAGTTGTTCCTTCTATTTATCACAATTTCTGTGTCCTGAGATTCACTCTATTTGTATTCTGTTACAGCAACTTCATGAACATGAAATTCAGACTGAATCACGCTGTTGCTTGAGTTACATGATTTTTGGCTTTCCTATGAACTGACCATGTCTATGAATATCTCATTGCTAAAAATGGGGCTGTGTACTTTAATTGTCATCAAATGCATGTTACCTGTTTAGGTTTGTCTCTGTCACTCTGTTTCTCCAAATGTAAATTCCAATTATTTCAACTAGACATCCTTATTAATATTCCAAAATAGCAACCTTAGTTTGATTGGCAGAATTTTGTGTTGTGCGAAGTGGGTTTTCACACATTATTTTGTCAGTTATAACTCGCAACTAATTTCTTTCACTTTTTTTTCAAACATGTTCTTTTTAGTCCTTTACAATGGTGTATTCCTATTCAGCATACCTTCCATTTTCAATTCAAGATTATTTTCTCACAGAGTTTCTTTTTTTTATATTACAAATTTTATTTTATAAAGACTCTGCGTCCTCCAGGAACCCTGTAAGTTGCCATGACTATAAGAGAGCTGCACTCTATAACCAGTTTCTCGCTTTTTTACAGTTGGGTTGGTTATGAGAAGTCAGGATTTGAAGGGCATCAGTACTTGTTGGAAGAAGGAGAATACCGAGAATGGAATGAGTGGGGAGGCTATGATGAACAACTTCGTTCTTTGCAATTTATTGAAGTTGTGAGTGTTTTTTTTATTATATGTGTACGTATGTGTGTGTATATATATATATATAGTGTGAATACAATATAACCACATTAGAAAATTAACTTATTGGATAAATCGTGTATGTTTGGGGGGTTTGGTTCCTCCCTTCTTTCATCACTTTATTGCTCTCCTATTTTGATGTTGGTAACTCATGTTTGGGATATGGTTTCACAAGAGCAGGTCATCTTAGTGATCTTGTTCATGTGAACTTAGACCATGAGTATCTAGTAGATGAGGTGACTTTGAGAGAGGACATTGCAGTTCAGCTTGTCGCTCTCCTTGACACCATTCACATTCAATGTGAAAATATGAACAACTATTCGGTACAGCTCTCTTGTTAGCTATCAGTCAACCTGATTGATTCACCTTCACTCTCCCACCCTCACCCGAATCAGGCTAAAAGGCACTGAGGCCAACTCTAAAGTTCCCTGACTTAGCACAGATTAAACCTGAGATTTTCCTATCTTGTGGGACTGAGAAACTCAGCCACCATGGCTCCAATGCTAACAACTTGTGGATCTACTACAATAATGTTGCAGAGGAATGATGGCTCATTTGCACCTCTGATATTGGACGATGGTGCTCGTTGACATCACATCCAATGATACACATGGCTTTGAAATATACTTAGACCTAGTCCAAGAGATGGGCCTTTCCCTGTTGTCTTGACAGAGAGACCTCCCTCTTACAGTCTCTGGTCAAGTGTACACTTTGTGGAACACTTTGTGTTAAGACTGAAAAGGTTAAGTTTTCTGATAGATTCCTATTCCTGTTTTGTTGCCGCTTGTTTGCCTCACTGTAGATTAGATTTGATCGTTATTCCAAAGAGCCAGACGTCAGACTGTTGACCCAGTTGAGAAAGCCGTGGTTTTACAGCTGAAGTTTAGTTTCATAGCTGAAGTTTGCACTTATTTAGTAATCAGAACTTTAAAAAAAAACTGCAACCATTTCAATAGATCTCTTTTACAAACGTAAGGTTATCTTGTCTGTTTTCTTTTGTTTCTTTAATAGTTTGGCTTTGTGTACAATACATGTAACTGTTTTTCTTTGCTAAAAGATGCATTTATCTATTTTTGTGAAGGACATCAATGTACTATAATATTGTGTTTGTTTCTTTTTATAATCCAGGAAGCTTCGAGTCCAGTTATGATCTTGTTCACTGAAACAAACTTTGGTGAGAAAGGTGCAAACATTGAAGTATTAGGTCCTATCCTGAACCTGAGAGACACTGAATATGGCTTGAAGACCCAGTCTATAAATGTACTCAGTGGAGTGTAAGTCCCAGTGTAAATTTAAAGTGATTTCTCAGTGGGTTACAAAATTCGGCTATTCAAAATATTAGTGCCACATTTGGTTAATTACAATACAGGGTTGTTTTAAACAAGTTATAATTATCTGTTAAACCCAGGTTATACTGTTGCAGGCTTATTTTCAGTTTCAGCATCATTAACACTTGGCAAATTAAAATTTGTAGAACCAGGAAAAGGTTACTGAGCCAACAAACCCATCCCCTTTTAATGTTAAATTAGTTAAATAACAAATATGGAGTCGCAATTAACTGATAGTACACCTTAAGCTGCATTAAAACCCGCAACAATTTATTAAATTGCTCAATACTAGTTTTGTATTTATTGTATATGTTTTGCTTCTGCATGTGGTCATCATTGTGACGTACTCTTAATGGTTGTAAAAGTGCCCTTCTTAGGTGATCTTCAGATTGCAGGCGATCTACTGTACCTTTGGCCTCTAAGTTTTCCATTGATGTTGCCTGTTGCTCAATGGCAGACTGTAGTGCAGATGACTGATGTTTTGTGAGTTGTGTAAAAGATGGCAGAGCGGTGGATTTCGCCATACTTTCCAGACCACCATAAAGTGTGAACACCAGGAAAACGATTAATACAGTTCTCATGCTGTACTAGCCAACATTTGAGGCCAGGTCTACTCTATTTGGCAGCACTTTGTGATATTATTCCACATGAAACCACAAATTAATTCAAACCACATCGCTGTTATGCGACTAAGACGCTACCCACGTGAATAATAATAATCCTTGCATTTGATGTAGCGCCTTATCGTGGCCATTGAGAAGTCTCACAAGCGCAGGATATACTGTACTATAAAGGATATAATGTAAAGTGTATCCAAACTGTGTACAAAGCTGCGTATCTTGTTGGTGAAACCTGGCAGTGAATTTGCGCACAGCAGTGTCCCACAAACAGCCATGGAGTGAGTGACCAATTTTATTTGGGAGATTGTTGGCCAGGACACCAGGAGAAACGCCCTTCTCTTTTCGAATAGTGCTATGGGATATTTAATGTCCACCTGAACAGGCAGACAGGAACTTGGTTTAATGTCTCATCTGAAGGACAATGCAACACACCCCCAGCACCAAATTGCAGTATCAGTTTAGACCATATGATTCCAAGACCTGACGTGGGGCTTGAACCCACAACCTTCTGACTCAGAGGCAAGAGTGCTACAAGTGAGCCAGGCTGGCAGACAAGGGCGCTATATAAATGTATTTCACTGTTGTTATTGTTGTGAAGGGCGTTGTATAAATACAAGTTGTTGTTATACTAAGGTCTTTAAATCTACTGCTTAGTAAAGGAGGATATGGCCTATTACACCTCCCACTTCTATTATCAGTCCCTCATTAACTCCTGCCCAACACCACCACAACTACCCTGTCTCTCAGTGTCTCATTCCATTATTTCTCATCAATATCAAAGCCTCTCACAGATTGGGTATTGTGCTGGAGCTTGAATGATTAACTCTGCAATGATATACAGGCATGCAAGGAAATAGAAGACATGATCTCTTGAAAATGTAGTTGAGAGGAAATTGAAGTGATGGGTGTGTTTCATTACAATCATCAAGCCACGCCTATTTTTGGAACCCTTAGCAGCTTTAAGATTTATGTCAATTGTCGTCTCCTTTCTCCTCATATTTTTAATTTTTTTATGTACTTTACCTTGTCTTGATTTATCAAAATGCCAAGGAATAAAATGGTCAGCATTGGGCCATAAACACAGGCTTAAATCTTGGTTGCAACATCTCAATATCTATCTTAAAGCTGGTATATGAGAGGGACATGTTGAAAAGATGTCCCAGGTAGAGGTGAAGCAGAGAGATGACGAGGAATGTTCAGTGTAATTAGTGCAATTAGTTTTAGATTCATGGGGTAATCCACAGAAAAGATTATATTTAATTATATACACATTGTCTGAGTAATGCAAAACACTTTTTAGAGAAGCAATGTTGTTTCCTTTAAAATACTTCTAATTCATTTTTGATTTTAGAAAGTACATTTTCAGGTTTTGTCCTACAGCCGATTTGGTGTGGTTGTGTAACAAATAATTTCTCCATGCTGCTGATTTTGAAAGTAGTTCAGCTTGTTTTTAATGATGTAGGTGTGAGTATAACTTACTGAGATGGGAAAGACTGAAAACAAAATGGTTTAATTGACAAAGTAAATTAAGATTGTTTTGCATTTATTTCATCCACAAAATATACATTTTAAGTATATTCTGTGAAGCACTTTGAGATGTCTCGAATATGTGATAAGGCACTATATCAAATTCAAGGATTATTATTATTATTTTAAATGCGATTGAATTTAACAGGTCAACTTGGCTCAGTTGGTGAACTCTCACACAAAAAAAATTTGGTCACTCATACAGTCAATTCACTTTACAGTATATTCTGTGAAACGCTTTGAGACCTTTCAACAACGTGACAAGATGCAATATAAAATGCAAGGATTATTATTATTACAAGACTTACCTGAACTGAATCTGAGTGAAGCTTGAGCAGTGTAAAATTATCCAATTTCCAAGTGTAATATAGTTTTGAACACATTTTTATATATCTATAATATTTATGTGTGAGTTTTCTATGTGGTTTGCATCATGTGACAGGAAGAAATTGAACTGTCCCAAGATCAAGGACCTTAAAATCCAGCAGTCATGGTTGTCTGTAGCTTCGACAGAGTTAAGACAATGACTGCATCTTGGAGATTTGACACCAATGTCCCCAAAGCAGCAATAGGAAAATTCATCAGATGCTCCTGCTCTATATCCAGGGTATCAGTCTGGCTCAGTTGGTAGCGCTCTTGCCTCTGAGTTATAAGGTTGTGAGTTGAAGCCCTTTGTCCAGACGTTGAGTTCATATAGTGTCTAAAATGACACTCCAGTGGTCAGTTACTTTATGGCTGTTTGTAGAAAGTTGCGGTGTACAAATTGGCTGCTGCGTTTGCCTACAACATACATGGTAATTACATTTTACAGTGAATACTTGAAGCTCTTTGAGACGTCCTCCCAGTGTGAATGACTCTTTATCAAATGCAAGGATTATTATTATAATTGTACAGAGCTTGAATAGGGGAGGTCTTCACTGCAGATGCCATTGGTGCCCCAAGTCCTCAATGATAGATTGTCAGTGCAGACCATCAGTGCTCCGTTTCATAACTCATTTGTCATTGCGTACCTGAGTGACAGATTCCTCGGCACTACTCGGACCACTTTCCAACGCCGTCTTATTGGTGATATGTGACATCTTCAGGAGATTTACCAGGATGGTACCGGGAATGAGGGACTTCAGTTATGAGAAGAGACTAAAGCAGCAAGGATTATTCTCCTTGGAGCAGAGAAAGTTAAGAGGAGACTTAAGAGAAGTTTTCAAAATTATGAGGGAATTCGATTATGTGAACAAGGAGAAACTATTTCCACTGGTGGGTGGGTCGGTAACCCGAGGACACTAATTTAAAATAGTTGTGGAAAGAAACAGAAGGGAGGTGAGGAGAAATGTTTTCATACAATGAGTTGTTCGGATCTGGAATGCATTGCCTGAAAGGGTGGTGGAAGCCAATTCAATAATAACTTTTAAGAGAGAAGTAGATAATTATTTGGGGTGAACAAGTTTGCAGAGCTATGGGGAGAGAGCGGGGGAGTGGGATTGATTTGGATAGCTCTTCTCAAAGAGCCGGCCCAGACACGATGGGCTGAATGGCCTCCTTTTATGCTGTTCTGTGTGCAATTGGCTGCTGCATTTCGCCCACAAATATGCAGTCAATTCACTTTACAGACTATTCTATGAAGGCTTTGAGATGTCTAGAAGACGTGAAAAGCTCTATATCAAAAATGCAAGGATTATTATAATTCTATGATTTACACAGGTCAGGGTCTTGGAGCATTTAACAAATACAGCTTAATGGAAAGCATAGGATACTATTGAACTTCACTATTGCTTCAACAGCACGATCACTTTGATATTAAAATCCTAGGAGTTTGAACTGGAATAGTTCAATTTTCATGCTGGATAAATAATTTTGGAGAGGTCAATGCATTTATCATCACTTTGCTTTCTACAGATGGGTTGCCTACGAGGAAGCAGATTTCACAGGAGCACAATACATTCTGGGTAAGGGTCTGTATAGCAGCTACCAGGATTGGGGAGCAAAAGATTTTAGGATCTCCTCTCTTCAGCCTGTTCTGGTGGTAAGTCTTAACTTTACTATTGTGGTGATTTTTGACATTATGTTTGTCAAGCGTTTCAGATTTACATGAAAGGACTACGTAAATCAAGTTATTGATTCAGGAAAAGGAAAAATCAGTCAGGTTCCCGTTTCCAATTGGCATCTAGTAGTGTGTGAGGAAGTAGAGCGAGGAAGGGATTGGGCTCAGCACTGATCTTTGTGCATCTTCAGATCACACCTGAAAACCTTCCTCTTTAACCATGCCTGCTACCACCTTTCTTTTCCCTCTGGCTCAACGTCAAGCTCTGCCATTGTTAAACATTCTGAGAAGCTAAACCCACGTGAGGAGCGCTATATTAGTGCACGTTGTTGATGATCATTCCGATGTTTGAACAGTCTGGTAAGATCACTGCCTAGGCTCACACATGAAGAATGGCCGTTTGTGCGATCACCCATAGAACTGTACTTCTCTTCTACACCATCTTCAGGGAACCAAAAGTAGAAAATTGTGCAAAAGAGTGACCATATGTGTTTTTTAATGTCCTTGTTTTTTCTGCATGACCCATTCCAATGGCAGGGCATTCAGGCTTTTTAGCAGTGAATAGATTAGTTATGAGCAATGCCCTTTTCAAGCCCATTATGTGTTAATCATGGGCTCATTTGTCCAGTAGGCGACTGAACTGAATCCAGAACTTGCTGACAAGTAGTGATTTTGGATGAGGATAACACCTGAATATAGTAGTCACTCACTGTAATTATTGAGCATGTCTTGAAGGAATTCCTCGCTCCCTTCTTAAAGCAATTTACACTCAGTAAATTATTTGCAGTATATCTTAAATCAGCTTTCTCCTCCCTCTGTGTTTTTCTAGGATACCAACCAAAAGCCCAAGTTTAAGGTAAGGTTCAAATTAAGCATTTCAAAATATTCATTTATTCTGTTACGTCTAAGAAAATAATATGAGAGGTTCTCTAGGAATTATATGAGTAAGCTCTTACCATTTATTAACTCAAAAGCAATCCAGACTAATTTTTTTTATCCCAGAGAGATTCCAAATGAGAGTAAGTTATTATAACGTACTTAAAGCTAAAATAAAAAGCCATCTGCTCGTCTGGCTTCAGTACTGTGGAGTCCTGTAGCTCAGTGGTTCGAGCATTCGCCTTGCAAGCGAGACACCTGGGTTCAATTCCAGGCAGGGCGAAACCTTGGGCAAGTTTCCTTACTCCACACGCCTAATAATCCTCCAAAACAAAACAATAATAAATTGGTCAGTTTCAATCCACGACTGTTTGTGGGACACTTCTGTGCGCAATTGACTGCCGCGTTTTGCCCACGAATATATAGTCAATTCACTTCACAGTCTATTCTGTGAAGAGCTTTGAGACGTCAAGAAGATGTGAAATGTGCTATATCAAATGCAAGGATTATTATTATTATTACTGAAACTAAATTTTATTTGCAGATGCTTTATGAATAAAGCAATTAAAAGATTAAATATGTGAGAACATGTTTTTTTTCAGTTCATATCAATTCTTATAAATAAAATGAACAATAATACTTAAATTGAATTTAAATTACGTTTGCTTTGTTACTACCGTCATTGACTTTCAATTGTATTGTATCGTTGTTGCATCCAGTACTTTTGTATTTAATTGTAGGTCAAGTTTTTTTCGGAAACTGAATTCCAAGGGACTACACACGTCTTTGAAAAGGACACGGTCCAGTTTATGGATGAATTTTCACCCAAATCCTGCAAGGTTCTGTCTGGCAAGTGAGTTCAATAAACTGAGATCAAGACTGTATTTAGGTGTTGTCATTCACAAATACTGTAATTATGGTGAAAAGTTAAACGTGTGTCAGATTCAATATTGAGGTTGGACTGTAGTTTAAAATTCCTTATGCTCTACAATTTTGTGTGTGTGTGTGTGAGAGACAGTCTTTCTTACTTAAAAGAAATGAATTTCCATACAACAAATGCAATTCTCTCTTACACCGTACAGAGCCTAACATTGATTGAAGATGATCGGAGATGGACCATTTCTTTTGCATCAGAGGATCCTTTAAGAACATATAGTTGCATTGAGATAGAAAGTAATTGTCTAATCAAACCATTTCGTGTTTTTCTTTGTAGCTGGGTGGTATACGATGGGGAGGACTTCACTGGTAAGCAGTATGTACTTGAAGAAGGAATGTATCCTAATTTGATCACAATGGGATGTGCAACAGATACACACATCAAATCTTCAAAGACAGTGGGATTTGTAAGTACTGATCTTGTTAAAACAATTCTGTCAATGACAGCTTATTGTAATGTTCCATTAATTGAGCCATTCATGTTAAATCCATTTTGTGCTAAAATAATTGCAAGATTTACAACAACAACAAGATTTCATTTATAGAGCGCCTTTCACGTCGGGAGGACGTCCCAAGGAGCTGGACAGTTGGGTCAGGACCCGAGCAGGGGGGAAATGGTAAGGGTGAGGGGAGGGAAGGGAGGGAGCGAGGAGGGGGTAGAGAGTTGAGAGGGGAGCTGGAGGCACGGTCAAAGAGAAAGGTCTGGAGACCGGCCTTGAAGGAGGAAAGGGAGGAGGCGGCGAAGGCACTGGGGGATAGAGTTCCAGAGCCTCGGGGCTGAGAGGCTGAAGGTCCGGCCACCAATGGTAGGGCGTTTGGGGCGGGGGATGTGGAGCAGACTGGAGCCAGAGGAACGGAGGGTATGGGCAGGTAAATAGGGGGATAGGAGGTCGGAGAGGTAGGAGGGAGCAAGGCTGTGAATGGCCTTCATCCCAACGTGATGCAACATAAATGCATTTGGTATTGTACCAGTCTTACAGTAGGGTTAAAAAGCAGCAGTTTCACAATGGGATCCACTAAGGTCAAAATCTGGGCAGCAGATCAATGGTGGGTTTTACTTCCATGGTTTACTGCCGGCGATGGGCAGGTTCCCCATTAGCCAGTCAGGGTTTCTGCCAGTAAGCTGAGAAGGATGTTGTTATCATCCCATTGTTGTCGTTCAGGATTGAGTTGATTATTTCAGTGCTACACATAAAGGTTTACCTGTCTGATTTAATGTCAGTCCTTTTATTTGAAGTATGGTAACACTAGCACACTGCCTACAAAAGAACACCTCTGGGTTTTCCATTCTAATCTAATGACAGTTGATCCTTTCTGGAAGCATGCCATAACTTTACACCTTCAGCACACAATGCACACAGGATCCAACACTGGATCTTTGTTGCTGGTGCCTCAGTTTCTAATTGAGAGAATAAATAATGCCAAATAATGCAAAGCAATAATTTTTCTTATGAAATTTTGATGTGCGGTAACTACTATAAATAGTATCGGGAGCAGACTCAGGAGAGAGTGGGGCGGAGCTGAGGCCTTGCTGCGGGTATAAAGCCCAGCCAGATGAGGAGCCACTCAATCGGGAGAGGAGTCAGGAGAGCGCGGGGGGGATAAGTGACGGGGTGGCGCGATTCACAAGGTGACGTCACAGTTAAAAAACCAGCAACAACAACAACAGTGGCCTGGCAGCCCCTGCCACTGCCATCCCAGCTGTGACCACACAGCCCGAGGCTGATGCCATCCCGCTGATCGCTTGCTCCCGGTTTCTGCGTGCGCGTTTTGGCTGCCGTCCCGACCCGAGCCTCCCCCTCCACTCTAAATGTCTCTCCTCCCACCCCCNTCTATCTGATACTCCCCCTCTGTCCTTCTCTCCCACCGCCCTCCCCGCCTTCACTCTCTCCTTGACCCCATCACCACTTCCCTCTGCTCCAGCCTGGGCATCCTCTGCCAGGCCCATCGTGGCTCCCGGCACCAGAGCAGCAACCCCAAGTGTCCAATCATTCACTCCCTCCCCTCAAACCACCTCCTTAAGGCAAATCCAACATCCCCCTCCCTCATACGTACCCTCCCCAACTCTCCACTCACACCACTCTCCACAACCATCTCTCCTATACATCCAAAAATCCTCCCCGCATCACTCTCTGCTCCCTCTCCTTCCTCCAGCAAACCCACCCGCATTTCCCTCCAAAATGTCTGTTCCCTCTCAAACAAAGCCTCCCTTGGTCTCACCTCCTACTCCTCTGGCTGCTTCCCCTCCTTCGAGCACCTTACCCTCTTCCACACCTCTCTCCCATTGAAAATCCTCCTAGTCTACCGCACCCCTAAGCCCCCCGGCTCCTTCCACACAGACATCTCTACTCTCTCTTCCCTGTCCCTCTGCTCTGAACACCTGCTTATAATGGGCGATTTCAATCTTCACCTAAACTCCCCTTGCACTACTTCTGCCGACTTCACTGCCCTCCTCTCCTCCCTAAACCTCACCCTTCACATAAATTCACCTACCCACAATCGTGGTCATGCCCTTGACCTTGTTATCACCCACGGCCTTAGCATCGTGGACAAGACCATCTCGGACTACTTCCTCATCTCCTTTTCCTCTCACATCCTTCTCTCCTCCACCAAGCCCTCAACCATCCTCCACTGCCCTTGGAAAAGGCTACCCCCTGAGACCCTCACAAAGACCCTAACATCATCAAACATCCTATCTCACTGGCCTTCCACCCGCGGAGATCCTGAAGCAGCCGTCCAGTTGCTCCATAATCGCCTCTCCTCCACCTTCAACTCCCTCATCCCCCTGAAATCTAGGATCATCTCCAAACCCACCCGATCCCCCTGAACAACAACCATCTCCGCCTCCAAAAAACCCAAACTCGGCTGCTCGAGCGCAGATGGCGGAAAACTGGCCTGACAGTTCACCACCAACTGTGGCTTGAGTATCTCCACAGCTACCGTCCCATTCTTTGACGGCTCTCTATCTGTGACCAGGGCTCCCTCTGTCTCCTTGTCCTCCTGGACCTCTCCGCCACATTCAACAGAGTTGATCACGCCATCCTCCTCCACTGCCTTTCCTCCGTCATCCACCTCAGTGGGACCGCACTCACCTGGTTCAAGTCCTACCTCACAAACCGCCAGCAGTACATCTGCACAAATGGCTTCTCCTCCCGCTCTCACCCGGTCACCTGTGGGGTATCCCAAGGATCCATCCTTGACCCCCTCCATTTTCTGATCTACATGCTCCCTCTTGGGGATGTCATCCACAGACATGGGGCACATTTCCACATGTATGCGGACGATACCCAACTCTATTTTTCCACCTCTCTTTGCGACCCCCAGTCCCCTGATGTTCTGTCAGCCTGCCTGTCAGATCTCAGGGGCTGGATAAACGCAAACTTCCTTCAACTGAATGTTGACAAGACGGAAGCCATACTCTTTGGCTCTCGTCAACGTCTAAAATCTCATGGTTCTCACCTCCTCCACCTACCCGACCTCCCTCTAAAACTCTCCGAACCCGTACGCAACCTAGGCGTCAGATTCGACCCCCAATTATTCTTCCTCCCCCACATCCAGTCCCTCACCAGCACCGCTTTCTTCCACCTCCGATGCATCGCCTGTCTCCACCAATACCTTACTCCGAAAGCCGCTGAAACTCTGGTCCATACCCTTGTCACCTCTCGGCTGGATTATTCAAACGCCCTCCTCGCCGGTTTCCCTTTCACTACCATCCATAAAATCCAGATTATTCAAAACTCTGCCACCCGTATTCTCACCCGCACCAAACTCCGCTCCCCGATCACCCCAGTCCTTGCCAGACTGCACTGGCTCCCTGTCCCAGAGAGGATTGATTTCAAGATCCTCACCCTTGTCTTCAAATCTCTCCACGCCTCCGCACCCCCTACCTCTGACATCCTCTCTCCTCAAAACAGTGCCCATTGCCTTTGTTCCTCCGGGTCTGGCCTCCTCCTTGTCCTCTGAGTCCTCCACTCCACCCTCGGTGGCCGTGTCTTCAGCCACTATGCCCCGAGGCTCTGGAACTCCCTTCACCTCGTCCCCTCTCGTCCCCGGGAAACCGGCGAGGAGGGCGTTTGAATAGTCCAGCCGAGAGGTGACAAAGGCATGGACCAAGGTTTCAGTGAGGTCAAGGAGGACGAGGAGGCAGAGGGAGCCCTGATCGCAGATGGACAGAATGTCATTTGTCACTTTGACCAGGGCTGTTTCTGTGCTGTGGGCTAATTTAACACTTGGGTATTCTGACAGAGATCAAATCACTTTTTGTTTTTCATAGAACTTTACCCAGTCAAATATTGAACTGTTTGAGAGAACAGATTTCAAAGGAAAGAAAATTGAACTGCATTCGGAAGCATTGAATCTGGCCTTGTTTGGATACAACACTCACATCTTCTCTGTGCAAGTAAATGGCGGCACGTAAGTAAAATGCTCTCCTGCCCTAAAGCTTTTTTTCATTCTTGGAAAGGTCTTGACAAGATCTGTCTTATGTTGGCAGGCATAAGTAGTAATTAGCGTGTTCATTGTAGCTGGCAAAGCCATATCATGAACATCTCCACGTTTTGTTTTAATTTGATTCCTATACTTCTTAAAACATTCAGTAACTATATTTTCTATAATTTGTTTTTACATCTTCCACATAGTGCAGCCTGGTATTATGTTTTAACTATGTAATACAGTGGACACGATTAACACAAAAGCTGTGTAGTTGTGGCGGCTTTAGAATCATGCACTAAGAGAGGTGGTCCTAGTTTCCTGGCCAACAATTCTACACATAATATTGATCATTCACTTCACAGTTGTTTGTGGGACATTGCTCTGTGGAAATTTTGTTCAGTTGTGTAATTTTTTTTCATTTATGAAAAACAGTTGGATTGCTTACGAATTCAGTAACTATAGAGGATGTCAGATTTTGCTACAACCCGGTGATATACCCAACTGGCATGAATTCACAGGATGGCACAGAATTGGTTCTGTGCGCCCCCTGATTCAGGTACGTTTATGGTAGATGTTTTATGAATACAATCTCTGACTTGATATGCAACATTTTGAATATTTTAGTAAATTACATTGGAATTACTAATAAATCAAAATTAAAGGCAATGGTATGAAGGGGGAGAGTATTCATGTATATATTTAAGTAAATGTACAGTGTGTATATATACTTGGGCACTTGTACCTGTGTATAACCATTCCATAGTATAGAGCACTGGAGCTTGTTACTACACCTTCATGTTGCCCTATGATTTTGCCAGCATTTCCAAAAGGGAATTACGTAGCTATTTGGCAAAGAACTCATTGAGGGTTATATGAGAGAGCGGCACAGGATTTTTAAAAAAAACTTTGGGACCAGCCAAATAGTTTTTTTTCCCAATCCTGTACACTCTTTTGTTCCCATCTTTGACTTATAAAGAGCATCAAAATGTTGGTTTAAAAAAATTATCTTTGTCATTTGGCTGGAAGCTGAAGTGTGTGGGAGGGTAGGGGAAGAGAGGGGGAAGTTCAGTACATTCTTATGACAGTTCTATAAGATTGTATTATCTTGAGAAGTTAGTCTCCTTTGCATCCAGATAAGTGATAGGTTGTCAGGCTAATCACTGAATAAATACCCAATGCTGTCTGAGGAACAATTTGAAGAGAAGTTATACCATAGCTAGTACTTGATTTTAGGGGAGTATTTTAAACAACAAAATCACTTTACCCCAAACCAAGTTTGGACAGCCTTAATCAACCCAGGAGAGCCCAGAGTGTTTTGAAGTTCAGGTATCCCAGTCAAGAGTTTAATGTTATAGGATTTAGCTGTAGGAGTGCCTGTTTGTTTTCAGCAGTTTGTCAAAGAAAAGTTTTGTTTTCTTTCCCATTCCCTCATATAAAAGAAAAATAAAGCCTTCAGAAGATAAATGTAGATTTGTGTCTCTTTTAATATTCCTAATATAGTTATGGAGTTATCTAATATCACTTTGCCATTAAGTTATTATCGATTTGTATATGTTTAGCTATGGCCCACTGATCGGCCCAAGATCAATACTTTTGAAAGTATCAAATTACTGTGTGGAGCACAAGCCAGCTCTTTACGAAAGGGGGTGGCATGGTGGGGAGAAAGTAAAGCAGTAACTTAGCAAATATTCCTGATCTTATTTGAAAGAACAAGTTCAAGTTTTTTTCAAAAAATCCATGTCATTTAAAAAATGGTGAAAACCATTTTGTGGTATTTACCCACATTCTCTTCTGTTGGCAGAAATTAGTGTACTTTAGGATACGGAATCGAAGTACGGGAGCATTAATGACATTCACTGGAGAACTGAATGATCTGAAGCTGGTGCGAGTGCAGGCTTTGGAACCCACGGGGTTGGATGATCAGATTTGGTCTTACCAGGATGGAGTCATCAAAAACAAGGTGCTCGCCAAGGCTTTCTCAGCCATGCTCATTCCTGTTTTTTTCACCAATTATAAATTTTATAAACTGCAACATACACATCACTGAATGTAAATATTACATATAGGGATACTCAGCCATCTACTGTATAAAATAATTGTGCTATATCTGTGTGAAATTTCTACAGTCCAGGTCTGTAAATAGAACTGGTTGCACAAAAGTCTTGAACCTACCCAGTGATTATCAATGTTTACAGATTAGCAAAAGGACCTGGCAAAATAGTTCTGAAACAACCATGCAATTTAAATTTAGTTCTGCTAATACTCGTATCTTCCCTATAAAACTGGTCATTCAAGACATTGCTGTGCCCAACTTTGCTATCAAGTTGCCTATCAATACACAAACACAAAGTTTCTCTGTTCTGCAACTCAAAAAAAACTGTAACCATAAAACGTGTATCAAATTATCTAAAACATGTATCAACATTTTGTAGTTCCTGTTATGTGGAACATTTTTAGAATTGGATTGGTTTATACAATATTTTTATTCTAACCTTCTCTTTCCCCTCTCCATCCCCCAACCCCCAATTCCACAGTTAGCTGAAGACTGCTGCTTGGATGTAGTAGGAAGTCTGATCACTACAGGTTCAAGACTGGGAGTTTCAGTGCTGCAGAATAAAGATGTTCATTTATGGCGTTTCCTTCCCAATGGAACCATATTCAGTGAGCTAAGGTCTCACCTAGCAATTGACATAAAAGGTAAGTAGCCAAACCACCATATGGGAGTCTCCAGTGCAATGCAACCAGGCCCTTCTATGGGCTAATTAATGAACATTTTATTTTGCAAATGGTGTAATTGGGCCCTGGACAGATTATGGTTTGTAAATTGATCAGAATTTGCAGCAGATAGTTTGGAGAAGGTTGTGACTTTGTTCAGCTGGGTGAAGCATTTTGAGAAGCTCTCTAATGTGAAAGGTCTTTAAAGATGTAAATTGTTGTTGTCGCTACTTAATTTATTGTAGGAAATTGCTGAAATTATATTTTTTTAAAAAAAGGATTGTTAAAAATCCCTTGTTACGGCAAATGCTTTATGATATAGTACAATTTACATTTATACAGCGCTTTTCACATCATGAGAATATCTAAAAGTGCTGAACACGGCTTCAAAGCCCTCTACAGCCTTGCTCTTCCCTACCTCTAAGACCTGCTAACTCCACATCGACCTGACCGCTCCCTTCGCTCAGCAGGCTTGGCCCATGTCTCCTGCCCGGCCCACCCCTGCTGATCCCAACCCCCAGCTTGGGTCCAAGTCCTTGACTGTCCAACAACTTGGGACGTCTTCCTGACGTAAAAGATACTATACAAATGTAATTTGTTGTTGTTGTTGAATGGGCATCCGAGCTGGAGAATAAGAGCTGAGGGGAGTAGAGAAAGGTGAACGAAAGTGTTGTCAAGAGCACTTGGATGTAGTAGGAAATCTGATCACTACAGGTTCAAGGCTGGGCATTTCAGTGCATCTTTAAAGATGTTCATTTATGGCGTTTCTTTCCCGATGGAACCATATTCAGTGAGCTAAGGTCTCACCTAGCAATTGATATAAAAGGTAAGTAGCTAAACATGCCTTTAATGAGGGGAGGGAGAGAGTGAGACAGAGGGACTCCCAACACAGGGTTCCAGACAACGGGGACAGACTGGCCAAAATCATGCCTTCCAATGGATAGGACGGGGATATGAAACAGAGATAGAGATATGAAACATAGAGATAGCATGGAGTTTGGAGGGAGTTGAAATGAGAATGAGAATTTTGTAACTCAAATCGGCTTGGGGAACTGGGAGCCTGTGGAGCCAAGCAAGGAGGGAGGTTAAATTATTCAGGTGATGTGTTGTTGGGGAGGAACAGACTCTCAGCACATTTTGTGAAAGGATCTAGCAGCTGCTGTTGCCAGAGTATTGTCTCATCAGCAAATAATGTCCAATTATGCCCCAAGCATGCATTTACTGGTTTATTTTATCTGTATTGTGCTTGCTAACCAGACACATCAGGCTGGCTCAGTTGGTAGCACTCTTATAATAATAATTATTAATCCCTATAGTTTACGCTGACACCTTAATACAGAGCTGGCGATGAGAAAAATTACAATGTGAAAAATAAGGATTTAAAGAAAATCAGGAAATATATTGTTTTATAAATTGAATTTTTTGGGGGGGTCATCCAGGTGTCTGACAAATTCAGAAACCCATCACCATGCTTAAGAGTATACAAAGCAAGAATTTCATGCATCCCACATACACATGGAAATCCCAGAGACAGATTGGAATGGAATGTGCACTCTCTCCCTGGAGGGATGCATCCTGCTCACCTAATTCTGTAAAGTATTAGGCACAAGCTGGCAAGAGCCAAGGCTTAGGGACCCCAGGGTGTGTGTTGGGGTCTAACCAGCTAAAACTGCATAGCTTGCCATTGATATTGCTGTCTGGCAAGCTTTCCTGGTGCTTGACCAGCTAGGACTTAATTTAGCCTTTTGTTTGCCTGTGTGCGTATTATAAATTCCAGCTTTCCTGATAATTTTGAAGCTAATAATGTGCTGCTCAACAGAACATTGTGCAAAAACAAATCTGTAGACTTAGGTATGAAGAGAAAGGCTCTTTCTTGCCTGAACATTGTTCACATATTTTGTGTGTTTGTACAGGCATCGTTTCCTCCATCCTTGTACTGTGAGTCATTAGAAAAAGTTACCACATTTCAAATTTCAGGAATGTGGAGAAAGCTTTAGGATATAGATTATTTTTTCTGCCATGTAGATAGATCCTCTATTCAACTGGACAGATTATTTTTCGCCAAATCAATGGTTTAGTTTGTCGCATTCTTATTCAATACCCCAACGCAATCAATTCAAAGTTTTTTTTAAAAAAAGAACAATTAGGGTCACATAATGGAGGGCCAGACTGTGTGCCTATAAACCAGCTCTCAGATAGCCTGGATAAAATATTCTTCAGGAACTTTATATTAAAAAATGTATACCCTAAGTGCTTTAATATTCCAAAGTTTTATGGAAAAGGCCGTATCAATATGTGCTACGGTTTTTAGGTTTGATGGTTAGTTTGGAGTCCAGCTTTGCAGACTTCACCTTTTCCTCAATTTATTAATAATAATAAAAAATAACAATAATCCTGATTTGATATAGCACCTTATCACGTTGTTGACACATCTCAAAGCGCTTCACAGGATGTAAAGTGGAATAACTGTGTATTTTGTGATAGCAATTGTATTTTCTTTCAGGTGGTCAGCATTATGATCAAAATCAAACCATTCTTAACAACTTTGATGAACTCCGGCCAACGCAGAGATGGGACCTGGAAGTCGTGTGATTCTTCTCATACAGATTTGGAAAGACTTGTGGCACTTTCTCAACTTCATGAGAAATCGGTCTACCTTCACTGTCAGGGTTGTACTTCATGAAGCAAACTTTGTGACCCATTTTCAGGACTCATGGTGACTGGAATTCATAGTGAAAGGGTAAATTAAATTGCCTCCTTTATTATGTGCCTGGGCTCTAATTAGCTGCTCTTTTGTGTCTAATTCTGATTTAGTATCAACCTTTTAAGTTAACTTCATGTGTTGGTCTTGGGTTTACCTGCTGTAACTTCAGCTACCAAATGTTAAACTTTGTCTGTTACCACAGGATTTATTTTAAAGTTTTAGAACTGATTATAAAACTCTAATAATAGATTACAGTGACTTTGACATCTTCTGTGAACAATATAGTGTTCTCCATTACCCAGTCAGCCTTACTTACCCCAGTGCCATCAGTGTACACTTTGGATTACTGGAGATAGAATCATGGAACCATCACAGCTGTGCTACTCTGAGAGAGCATTCAGTCCCATTTACCTGTTTTTCCCTATTACTCATTTCCCACATTTACTGTCTTAGTCATCTATTTAGCTCTCTCTTGAAAGGTAATTATGGATCCTACCTTAACCATCCTCTGTGTAAAACAAAAATCCTCTCTGTTTGTAATTATCAGGCCTTCCTGACTCGCATTCCAATGGAAAACAGTCTTATCAAAAATCCTTCATAATTTTAAAGACTTTGTTCCATCTTGTCCCTCCATTTGCTGCTCAGGTGTGCCTCTTACAAATTAATTTCAATGGGGGTTGAAATAACAGCTGTTTTATAAAACTGTCGATAGGACACTAATATTCAGAACTATGAATAATTTTGGAATTCAAAGCTTGTTACAATTTTTGATAATTTATCTGTTCCAACAGTACCCTGTTATAGAATCTAGTTTTGGGAGACGGGAGATATATTAATGATTTTAAATAGCTCAAGTTGTGACATGTGCTATCCTAACATAGTATCCAGTCGTGCTAAAGTTAGATGCTTAGGAATCGCAAAGCAAATCCACTAATTTTACAAAAAATATTTCCCTATTCAAAACGGATAAAGAGCATGGCAGTAGTCTGTCAGGGGAAACAATCTAAGACCTTCAATATGTAAATTTGGAGCAAATAGCTGTGTGCATTTTAAGAAAATAAAATATCTTTTATTAAAATGGAGAAATTGATATGTATCCTTGGTTTAGACTTTTCAAGACCTTCATGTATTTCAGCGTTTCAAATTCTCACAGGATTTACTTACTGTTTGTTTTGTTAGCCTGTTTCAGACCTGTGCACAGTAATGGCAGTCTTTGCTTGTACAGTATGTTGCATATGTCACTCAATCCTAACACATTTTCAAACCTTTATAAATATTGACAAACATTGTGTGAACTGCCTGGCCTGCTGCTCAACTAACTGATGACTAAGAGCATTCTGTGTCTTGGTATGCTGTATTGCAAAAATCCGTGTAGCAGGGTCCGAGACACATTACTGGCAGGCCCAGGAAGGTGTTTGTGGTGGGGGGGAAGAAAGAAGGAAAAGAAGAAAAAGTGATGATTGTACTGCACACAGTTCTAACATTTTAGCTACACGTTTCTGTACAATTTTAATTTGTCATTTATCGTGAAAAATGTACATTTCTAATGTCTGCCGTGAATTTGCTTGCCTTTGGGGTTAAGGGGATAAGTAACCAGTTTGTGAAATGTCCTATTATTATAGTTTGCTTAAGTTTGCACAGCCTTTGCCTTTTCACTAGCTCCCTTTTTATGTTAGCTCCTGATTCTTTGCTTTTATCAGCTGATATTTGCGCCCAGTGGAGAAATAGCTTTAGTGAAAGTGTGAACTACAGGACTGATTTTCTTGAAGCTTTTGTGTATCCGATTGAGATGGACAACTTTTTTTATTAATTTACGAAAGAACCAATGTGCTGACAGTTTTCTAATTTTCAAGGCTTGCACTGCAACATGTAACATGTTTATCAAATAAAATGTACAACATCAGAGTTATCCTTTTGGAACAAACATTTTGATGATTGTTACAGTAATTGAGACTGCTGGCTTGAAGTGAGTTTAATATAATGGTCTGTACAGGTTACAATCATTTCCCACTTCCAATACCGTCAATTACAATCTTCCCTCGTGCATGACCCCCTTCCAGTTTTTGAAAAGCCTCTGGAACTTCAGAGAAGGAGAACACCTGATCAACAACTGGACGGATCTAAAGAAGAGAAAGTGAGAGTCAGACTAGCTCAGTTGGTAGCACTTTTACCTCTTGATTCATACATTAGGTGATTGATTGGCTCCCGTCAGCGCCTCCTCACCTCAGGCACTGACAGCATCACTATCCATGGTGCACACTCCACCTTGCTAAGCCAGTCCGGAATCTTGGGGTCTTGTTTGATCCTCAACTATCCTTTCTACCCCACATCTGAGCCATGACCCACTCTGCCTTCCCCCACCTCTACAATGTCGCCCAGCTCTGACACTGTCTCACACCGCAGGCCGCCAAAACCCTCATACACACCTTCATTACATCGAGGCTCGACTATGCAAACTCACTATTTGTTGGCCTCCCCAACTCCTCCCTCGACAGGCTTCAGAACATCCAGAACTCTGCCGTCCGTGTCCTCTCCCGCACCAGGCTCTGTGACCCTATCACCCCCATCCTTGCCCGACTCCACTGGCTTCCCATCACACAGAGGATACAGTTCAAGATCCTGGTCTCACCTTCAAAGCCCTCCATTGTCTTGCTCCCCTCTACCTCTCCGACCTCCTAACCCCCTACTACTCTGTTTGCTCACTCCGCTCAGTGGGCTCCGGCCTGCTTCACGTCCCCCGTCTCGCTCGCCCCACTATAATCCCCCAAATAAAACTGGTGGTTCAGGCATGGATCGTGTAAGAAATTGCTGTGCGCAAATTAGCTCACACCATCATTCCACTTCCAATACATTGTGTGAAGTGCTTTGGGATATGCTCCTGGCATGAAATGTAAGGATTATTATCCCTCATTTAATTAGCAATTGAAATAAATTAAGATATGGATTAATTGTCCATTACATATTTTGATTTAGAAAATATAGAAATTCCAATTGGAACAAACAGCTAATGTAGTGATCACTTAATAGAGGCAGAGGGTCTGTACAATACTCACACTGAAACAAAGGCTTGGATACAAACAACAGGCACGTGGTGCAACTGCACAACCTCACAAGCGCCAAAACTATATATTTAGAAGTCTAAAACAGCATTGACTATTATCTGCTGTACGCTCACCTCTGATCACCAAAGATAATGTGCCTTTGGCCCAGTTTTGAAGATAATGTCAGTGATAGGAAGGGCAACTGCTATGCAAACAATAACGTTAAAACAAGTGACATTTTGATATTTGTAATTAACCTTTTTTTTGGTTACATGTTCAGTTGCATGGTGAAGCCCTCTGCAGTTCAGGAAGGAATTGCAGCTGCCATCATAGAACTGCTGATCTCATTGTGTTTGGGTTACATCAACTTGAAATGAATACCATGGTTCCCAACCATATCCAATCCCATGTCAACCAAATTCCATAAGAATGTTGGTTAGATCCAGACTCTTCCTTCACCTATCTCTTCAGTTTCAACTATTAATACTTTTATGATTAGAATTAACATTTTCTCAACTGTATCCCCTTCTTAAACCAATTTGAAGTAAGCAACATGGCACAACAACAACTCACATTTATATAGCATCCTTCATGTAGGATAGCAGCTCGGACATTGTTGGCGTTGGACAAAGGTTAGGGTGGACTATAGGCCTGGGGAAAGGTTAGAGGGGACTATAGGTCCGGGTAAAGGTAGGTTTTAACTAGGATTTAAAGGCAGATGGAGTGTGCCAGGAGATAGGGGCATATTAAACAAAGGATCAAGCACCAATGGTGGCACGGGGATGTACAGCAGGCCTCTGTTAGTTGATCAGAGAGCGTGAGCAGAGGAGTAGGGTCCCCAATACTATGAACAGACACTGATTCCATGGAAAAGATCAGTTCTGGTTATCACAATATAAGTGGGCTGCTCAGGCCAGTGCAAAGGCACAATCCATAGTAGGTTTAAATAGGGAAGTAGACAGGTATGTACAGGAAAGTTAGAGGCTTGAAAGGTATGGAGATAAGGCGGGGCAGTAGGATTAAATGAACACCTTGATCTGAGAGCCTGTGAAGACTCGATGGTTGAATGGCCTTGTTCCGTGCAGTAGATTTCTATAAGGAGAACAATATGCATAATCCACAGTTTGGAATGAAGACCAACATTAAAAACTAGATAAACTTGGGCTTTCCAGTCTCAAAACGAGATGTTGCAGAGGGAACCTTACCGTCTAGAGGTACATTAGAATTAGATCTTAGAGTTAGATATAATATCATACAGAACTTTTTAAATAATGTTTTAATAAATTTCTTTGTCTTTTCACAAAAATCCTAAACTATCCCCAACAAAGCTTAAAGGCAGAATCACTCAATGAAACAATGTCCAAATCTCCAAGTGTAATGATAAAATCCAATGAAATGGGAACTCTGTGTATGGATAGGATCAGCTGTGACATTTCCCCCGTTCTCTCTGGTTAAATCATCCTGTTAACTCATGTATTACACAATGCACAATAAAGCAATTCAGTGTTCAGTCTAGAAGAAAATAAATGGTAAAAATGTGGAGGTTTTTTTCTGCTAGTTTCTTGACTCAACAGAGTGCGGAGGCTGGAAAGAGAGAGAAACCGTCTGTGTGGTACTTGAGCAAAGAGCCAAATGACCAAACACAGACGTGCAATTAATTAGCACTTATATAAAGCAGGTGATGTACACGTGGCAAACTTCAAAGTTGCTGAAATTAGGCATATTTGAAACTCGAGCAGCAATACGAAGAACACATTATTTTGGATTGAAACAGCAGACAATCAAGCTACAGGGCTTAAACTGTGCTCAAGAGACTAAGTCAACTGGAAAACTGCTGGTCTGAAAGTTATCCATCCAGAGGCAAATGTGCCATATGACTAGTGATGATCGCTTTTTTTCTGAAACACTAAATGACAACTCCAGTCATTCAGCTTCAGTCACCATGAACAGCTGAATGAGACCCAATCCCTCTGCCGATGATTTCGCCACTCAGCTGGGCAACACTTCAATTTCTATGTTGAATGAGAACTGTGCTATCATCAACTAGCATGCACAATACGCACAAAACACACCGAAAGCTTGTGTGTTCACAACAATGAGGGGGAATCAAAGTTGCCAACCACAAGGTCTCTCTATCACAGTTTTCCTACAAAGAAACCCACAGAACTGTCAAACTGATCTGCTCCCTCCCACATGGGCTGGAGAAGGGCATTGGTGTCCGTGTTGAGTGTGATATTTTGTTTGCCATCCTTAATGTTTAGGTTTTGCAACATGAAGCAAAAATGTCATGTTGGTGAGAAGTTGGGAAAGAATAAACTATATTTTTAAAAAGATTCTCCCCCCACTCCCATGGCACAATCAATAAATGTAGTCGGTAAACTGAACCATTGTTACTATGCTTTGAGAGAGCCATCCATTCAATACACTTTACAAGCCCTTTTCCCCCATAAACCTTCAGATTATTCCTCTTCAGATATCTATCCAGTTCCCTCTTGAAAGTTAATATGAATTTGGTTTCAGTCATCCTATCTGGCAGGGCATTCCCCATCCTCCCCACTTGCAACCCTGTCATTAAAGCTGTAATCCATAACAAGCTATATGCTCTGTTTAATGGAATTGCAAAATGCCTGGGGGAGGCCGAGAAAAAAATTCTGGCAGTCAAGATTTGTGTAAGAAATAAATGTTATCCAGGAAAGTGGGAGGGGGAAAACAGTGAACTTTCAATGACATCCCTGGATGTGACCAATGTGACTGCAGAGACCTAAGATGCCATATAGAATGGTCTTAATATTTAAGAATATGTAGAATTTGAGGAAAAAAGAGTTTAATTCATTTCATTTTGAAGCTGCTTCCCAAACCGAACATTTGGAGAAGGCGGTCCTGGTCAAAGGGAGGAAAGATAGCTGGAGGTCGAACCGGATGCCTAGATTGCGCACTGGTTCAGTGAGTCTGAGGGAGAACCCAGGGAGTTTGAGGAGTTCAGATCCGCAGGAGTGAAGACGTTGACAGTATGGCTTCCATCTTGTCCACATTCAGGTGCAGGAAGTTTGGACTCACCAAGGCTCTAATGTCTGCCAGACAAGCTGACAGAAAGAACATCAGTGGACCTGGAGTTGTAACTGGAGGAGGCAAAGTAGATTTGTGTGTCATCCGCATTCATGGGGAAGTTTACCCCATGTCTGCGGATGACATCACCTAGAGAGAGAGGACCAAGGATGGAGCCCTGGGGTACCCCAGAGGTGACCGGGAGGGTGCGGGAAGAGAAAAGGAACAAGAAAAATAACTTGTATTGTGAGATGCTGAAAAGTAATACTCCCTCTCGTCATGCAAAGAAAGCACCAGTAAATACACAGGAAAACAGCACCATCTATTGGTACAATCTGTTAAACAAGCCAGGTGCATCAAGCTTCAGCGGAACATTGTTTCACAAGTCAAACATCCTCTTGGACAATTTTTTTAGTCAGACGAGTGGGTGATGGAAACGCATCAACGTGCTTACAAATCAGTTCCACATACACATGCCACCTACAAATGGAAATTCCCCTTAATCCAGAATAAAGTATACGTTCTACTTAATTCCTAATTATTTAAACAGAGCAGTCACACCTATGAACCTTTCAGTAGAGATCACTGGATCATACCTAGGCACTTTCAAGACCAAAACTATCACTGATTCTCGAGTTAAGAGCCAGAACTACCTTCTCTACTTCAATCTAGTTACAAGTAAAACTGTGGTGAGGCTTGAGTCATTAGGGGACCTTAGAACTTTGAAGCTTAGATGGATTGGCAATTACATATAGGGAGGACACCAGCTTCATAGCGTTGTCTCTTACTGCACTGCCTGAAATTTTTCACTTCTGATCCTCCATGCTCCCTGCTGGGAGGACATAATCAGTGCAAGAAGTGAACCAACTTTATAATAGCACGTTATTAACACAGAACATTAATAAATTGTTAGAGAGCTGGTTCTCTTATTGAGATGAAGCTGGGCCCTTCAAACAGTTTCCTGTGCTGTGCACCCATATCACACTGATAGCGAGTTCAGTGCAATACACTGACGCAGAGGCTGCAGAGCACTG